TCCATACTCTTAAATCATATACGTAAGTTTTAGAGAGTTAACTAATGTCTCAAGGGGTCATAAAAACTCTTTCTTAACACCTAAAACATCTTTTAATCTTGAATCAACTTTAAACCCTAATATGCTTAATTACACAAATCTTAGCAAATTCTTGAAATTTATGAAAGCTCAATACTCCAAAGGTTTAGAAATACACTACATTGATGTTTGAATACTGAAATGAAGCTCTTTTAGCTAGCAAACATTCTCCTTTATGATTGGATGATAAAGCCCCTCTTTTTTTTGCAAAAAATAAAACCCAAAGCTTGAATCTTCAAAACGATATTGATGTAGGGTAATTAGGAAGAAAATGAAGTATCAAAAGGCTTAAGACTTACCTTGTGCTATGGCTACTTAGAGATTATGAAGAGATAGTAAATGAGGAGGATGAAAATGAATGAAAGAAAGATGAAATGAGATAAAAAAACTCTCAACTTTTCAAAATGGGGAAATTACACTTTTGGTACTTCCCCATCTTTCCACTATTCAAAAACCATTTTTATCCCAAAACCAACCCAATTAAGCCCAACTGAACCCAACAACTTAAAACATAAAATTCACGGGGTCCACTTACCCCTCGGGTAAACCTAAAACTACTAGCCTAGAAATTGGGGTGTTACACATTCAACTTTTTGACTTAATGTCGAAAATTTCAAACAAGGTTAGAGCTACTGAAATTTCAACACTTTCTTTACTATAGTTCAGGTTTCCAACCTCTTTGCTTCCACAACATTCATCAATGTGTTATTTAAACAATGATGTTGCAGTTCGAACAATTATTGACACATGCATTACCAATTCAGTGAGTAATGTTGACTTATTTGTCAAGTATCACAAGCAAGCCACAAATCCTTCCACATAAAAAACAAAATCTCCTGAAGTATCTGGCAATATAAAAGTTAAACTTCAAGAACTTGGACTATTTGTATATAGAAGGAAACAACACTACATCAAAACTGTTCTTTAGTGGTGTTTTTAGCGGAACTTTGAGAGTAAACGCCACTAACTTTAAACATATAGCGACGTTTACATTTAAAATGCCACAAAATGGCAACTTTAGCGGCGTTTATTTATAAACGATGTAATAGGGTTCATCTATAGTGGCATTTTTATCGAAAAATGTCACAACAGAGTAGTACTTTAGTGGCGTTTCTATACAAACACCACAATAGGTCCATCTATAATGGCATTTTTTCAATAAACGCCGAATCATATTAGTACTTTAGTGGTGTTTTTATACAAATGTCACAATAAGGTTCACCTATAGTGGTGTTTTTTCAATAAATGTCGCAACAGATTAGAACTTTAGTGGCGTTTTTATTCAAATGTCGTAATAGGGTTTACCTATAGTGGTATTTTTTCAGTAAATGTAGCAACATATTAGTACTTTCGTGGCGTTTTTATACAAATGCCGTAATAGGGTTCACCTATAGTAGTTTTTTTTCTCACAAACGCCACAACAGTGTAGTGATTTAGCAGGGTTTTTATACACACGCCGCAATAGGTTTCATCTGTTGCGGCGTTTTCCAACAAACACCGCAACAAAGTTGTATATTTTAATCGTGTGAATCCCTTTCCCCTTTTCCATGTGTTCACACGATCCCCTTTTACTCTTTCCCATCTCCGCCGGACATAGCCAAATATCCACGCAAAACTAGTGTTGCTCGTCGCCGGTCGAAGCCGTCAACTATTAAAGCTAAACTCACCCGATTCTGTGCAAGCAGAAGAATTAGAAATTTAGATTTTCAAACAAAAAAATTAGGGTTAAGCTATTAACCCTCATGGCCAGTAACAGTGAAAGCTCTTCAGCAACGCCTTAATCGACGACCGATAAGCCTATGATTGTTAGGGTTAAGCGCAAAGGCTCCTAGTCTCCTCTCGACGCTTTTTGTATAATATTTATTTTCGTTCTCTCTTTTATCGTACCTTTTTTTATGTTTTCTTTTGCTTCCGATATAAATTTAAATGCAATTTTGAAGCTTCAAGGAACACTTTTGGTGTCTTTTACAGGGCTTGAAATCAATGAGCGACCTTTGAAGCGCTCTTTTTCTAATTTTCAGAATCTATCGATATCGGAATCGTCCCAAAAAGGTTTTTCGTTGTTTTATTTTAAAAAAAAATTAGGAAGGGTCGTTCTTAATTTGCATGTTCCGTAATTAAAAAATCTTCTAAAATTGATACGATGATGTTGTTTTGAATTAGAGAAGCCGAAGAGTAAGAAGGTATTTGTGCAGCATGTTTATACAGTTGAAAGCTCTCGGGATACAGTTGATATTGTGCAATCTTTTTATAGTAAGTAGTGATCAAATGTTGTTAATATGTGTACTGTTTATCTTTATCATGTATTTTTCTTATAGTCTCCTTCTTAAAGGTTCTTTTCTGTTTTAAATTATTGTAATTTACTTCTGCATGCAAAGGGAGCTATAACTGCGAGTTTCTTTTACAGCCAAATTCTGGTAAGACAAGGAGTCAGGAAGGAAGGCACCCTCAAAAAACTGATTATGTAATCACTCGTACTGTTTTGTTTCACTCAACACAATCATGGTTGCTCCGTTAATGTTCGGCAATGGTGTCCTAATTCATTTTGAAAAGATAGTCATCATCATTTCGTCTGTCTATCTGATAGCCATTGCTGATTTGTCTACGATTCAAACATATTGTTAAAATCTACATTTATGAAATGTAACTATGGAATAATGCCTTCTTGTAAACTCCACTTGTTTATGGTCTTCATTATCATCTTACATTTTTGTTGAAATTATTGTCATCTTAAATAATTACTTTACTATTGATAGCAGAATACCAATTGAGCACATTTTTCTACATAACTTGTGTCTTAATTAAAATGTATTGTTGTTGTTAATTAGATAAAACTACATGATATTAAATTTATGTGATGTAGAGAAGAAATAAAATATGCAAAATCAATTAATTTAGCTAAAGAAAGGTAATTAGCGGCGTTTGTATCCAAAAAAGCCGCTATAGATTTGACCTTTTGCGGCATTTTTGGAACAAACACCGCTATTAATCTTGATCTTTTACGGCGTTTGTTCCAAAAACGCCGTTATAATCTGACATTTTGTGGCGTTTGTTCCAAAACTTTAGTGGAGTCGGTATGGTTGAAGCTTATTGCGGCGTTTTTCCTATCACCGCAAGTGCTTTTTGCGGCTCTTAAAAACGCCGCTAAAACTATGTTTTGCTGTAGTGCAAGAGAAAGAATAAAGGATTGAAGAAATTAAAATTTGACTTGTCAACTGACTATGATGTCTAAGATATGTGGGTAAATTAATATTTCTATTGTATTGTAATGTAACGTAGGAGTTAATGTTTCTAATGTAATTTAGGAGTTAATGTTTCTACTGTAAGATGTGTGTGTAATTTAATACTTTGTATTAAATAAAAATTAAAAATATGACTCTTGGAACTCATCACCTCAGCATGACGAGTTTCACGATTTTTTCCTAATATATTTTGAAAATAAAAAAAACACTAAACTAAAAATTATTATTATTTTAATAGAACTCATCATGCTGACATGACGAGTTCTTTGAAATATTAAATATTAGACCAGACGAAACGGTTCAATAAAATATATTTTTTATTGAAACTCGTCATTTTAACGTGACTAATTCTATATACACTGTAGCATTTGTCGTAGATCCCTAAATAATGTTTATCAAACGGTATAAGGCTAATATTTTAGCTCGTCTGCGCTAACAGGCCAAAAATACCCCTAAAATGCTTTTGATTAATAAGGCTTCGTTATGTTTCCCAACATTTCTATAAGGCTTTAGCTTTCAATTTCAAAAAGTTTCAATTGGGGACGAAGTAGGAATTTTCTTAGGGTATAAATAAATTATAAAATTTTAAAAAGGTTAAAATATTGTTTTATCTTTTTACAATATTTTTATAATTTTTAAATTATTTAAAATAAAATATATAATTTATAAGGTCAAAATATAACTTTATCGTGATTTAAATTTTAAAATATTAAGGAACTAAGATTTTAAAGTAACATTATTTTAAGGGGAAAGAAACACTACCGACTTTCTAATTGTTCGTGTACATTTACAATGTTGTCTATAATTAAGAAAAATTATAAACATATAATATATTATAATAATAAAATTTTAAATGTGACATAAAATATATATACATTTAAAATTAATAATGATAGTAAAACTCAAGCTTCATATTTATTGAATACCAAGTTCTAAAAATTTCTGCATTACACTCCTAATCATCTTCCCAACTGGAAGTTATCTGAATTTTGATAATAATTTTAGTGGATTTAGATTTTTTAACGTATTAATTATTTTGTTATGATCTAGTTATGTTAAATTTAGATTATTTTATGTTCAAGCCATTTTAGATTTGGATTATTCGAATTTATTAATTGAGATCTTTAAGTTAAATCATTATGTATTTTGATTAATTTAGATCTTTTCATTCAAGTTTGACGTTCGAGCTCAAGATAATTTTAAATTCAAATTGAATATATTATTTTTTTTGTGATCAAATTAAGTTAGATTAAATTTGAATTATAATATAATTTTTTAACTTGTAACAGATTTAAGATATAACGTCAATAAGGATAACATAGATAAAAGAAAGTGTCAGGTTGATGCGACGAGGGATAATATACCACATTTATAAACACAGGGGTGGCCATGCCAACTTGCCAGCCTGCCTGGAGCTCAAAAACATATGTATGCATCCATGTAAAGTTGAAGGGCGTCGTACAATCATTTTTGTGGTCCAAAATTCAACCCAAATATCACATGGTTTGTAAGCAGAGCCAAGAGATACAACCGAGGTTTCACTTCACAAATCAAACCCTTTTCCATTAATATTATCAAAGTACAAATACATGATTCAAGGCCTCTTTGCCCAATCTCTCTTTCATAAATGTCAAACCCTTCTCTTTCTTCATAAAAGAAATTATTCCACGGAAGCAATGCAAACACTCAACAACGAAACAACAACGAAACAACAACAAATCAACATGCAAATCTCATAGGATTTAGGACGCTCAACCACTCTTGCAGGACCCATCTCAATAAACCCCCTAGATTTACAATTATTGTATTGTGTAAAATAGTTTTTTTTTAAGTCCCGTTTTAGTTAGCACTCGGGGATTTGTGTGTGATCCCTATGAGGGTCATGGCAATAGTCATATACCAAATAGTTCCTCTGGACCCAAAGCATGGTTGACACTTGTTGTCGACTAAGGCTTTCGGAGCCATACAGAGAGGCGGAAGGCGGGCGACAAAAGATAGGGTCGTTGGCGGTGCAACCACTTACTCGAAAATCCGTATACCAACCGACGAATGGTTGGAAGTTATAATCAGCCTTGTACCTTCCGTTCTCGGTAGCCCAAGATGATGCATCCCATATCGATCCGTATACCCACATTGGTCTTGTGGGAAACGTGGCGTCACTCTTCTTTGAGTACCTCCTGATTGGCACATCATCTACGAAAAATCTGTTGAATGAATCATAAGACACGTGAAAAAAAGATGGAAAAAAAAAAAAAAAAGGGAAAAAATCATAATTAAGGATACTTGCATGATTTCACTAGGGTTCCATAGTATAGCATAGTTATGGTAATCTTTTGTAGGATCAAACCACAAATGAACCCTCATTTCCCTTCCAATTCTGTTCCGGTCCCCACTTCCTTTAATGAACACATTAGTCTGTAGAGTATAGGGTTTATCCGGTGTGGTCCCAAGGAACTCGATATCGATTTCGTCATGGTTTCCGGGATGTTCTTCGTTGTTTGAAAGCTGTCAAATTGCACAACATCAAAATTACATGCTTACATAGTATATACACAATGGTTTTGTGTATATATATCATTTTATATCAATTAGGTTTTGATTTGATCATTTCGTACATAGAACGAAGTAATAACTCCTGCAGTATAACCAGGGTCGAGCTTCATTGCAGCACCAAAGTAACCTGACTGGTACGAATGAAGTGACTTGAAACCACTCCCTGTTTTCACCATGAATGCACAAATTAAGCACGTAATTAGACCCCAAAGAATGAAAAAAGAGAATGGAATGGCTAGAACCTGAGGTTTTATCGAGCCAGATTGTTAATGAACCCTGGTCTAGTTTCTGGTGCTGAGGACCCCAAAGATTTCGAAACCCTTGATCAAAGGTCACGGTGCTCACCCTGGAGCTAGGGGAGAATCCAGGGGAAGGTGGACCCTGAGCATTGCTTGAGGAAACAATGAAAAACAAAGCAAGGAACAAAGAGAAAATTGGGGCCATGGAGGTAAGACAGAAAAGAGAAGGCATACGTAGTAGTGAAACAAAAAGGGGGACAATGTGGTTTTAAATGCAGCTTGGGACAAAAAACTGAAGGTTTTGAAACTACAATTGTGTGTGGAAGAGTGTGGCGATACCATTGGTATAAATAGGCAGATTGAAGGCCCCACTATTTGGTAAGTTGATAAGTTGGTTGATGGGGAAGTTACAGTGGACTATATATATTTGAATAGAAAGGGTATATATATGTGTATATATATAAATAATGTATACACTTTCTACATGTAATTGTTTGAATATAAGTTTTTTTAAAAAGAATAAAATTTTATTTTATCATTAATGCTACACTACATAAAATATATTTTAATAGAAAAACATGACGTATGAAATAACTTTTTAAACACTTAACACACTTATTAACCGGAGGCCGAGGTGGATACACTAAGCCTCGGTAGAGGCCAAGTGCATCGCATTATTTTAGAAAAATGATTAAATTTAACTTAATGTGTAAGGATAAAGTGAAAAAATAAAAAATTTACATACTCATTATTTTAAAAAAAGAAAATTAAAATTTTAAATCTTATCCTTAAATTTCTGAATCCACAATTGTTGTGTTATTAACTAAAGTTTTTTCTTGACTTATATTTATTTTGGGTTAAAAGTTTAAGATAATATTCAACTATCTTTAGTTATTTCATAAGAAAAGGCTCGAGTTATAAAGAGTTTAAATGTTAATCTTTGAAAAACTTTTGTCACATCCACGGGTTAATAAACAAATAATGTTAAACGTCATACTGTTAAAATTTATTAAATGAATTATTATAAAAAAAAATAATTTGTATAAGGATTCATAAGTTTTGTGTTCAAATGTTAAGGGTATGTTTTAGGGTTTAGGGTATTTTTAGGGATAGAATTATATTATAGCTCTATATAAATTATATATTTATATAAATTCAAAATTTTAATTAATATTAATTATAAAATTAAAAAATGTAATATTTCTTATCTCTCTCTTAGTCAAGAGCGTAATTGAGAATTTCTAATTATTTAAATTAATGTGGACTCACAAATTACGATAATTATCTAAATACATCATAATTATTATTATTTCTTGAGGTCTCAAGTTCGTATACCACATAGACCAGAGGTATGAATGCCCAATATCAAATGGTTGAGACTCTTGACATATATTACATATATTTATCTTATAGGAATAAAAAAAGATTACACTAAAATTTTCTGCATGTAACCTTAAAAACTATATAAAAATAAAAAAGATAAAATATACTCATAATAATTATTATAATTATAATTAAAATAATATCTTATTTATTTTTCAACTGGACTGATACTTAATTAAGCAATTATATTAATTCAATCAATATTTTATAAGTAACAATATAATGATTTATTCTTCACATCAAACAAATGAAAAAATATTTTAAATTACGAAATATTTATTTAATAATGATATATATATATATATATTATTTTTATACTTCTATATAATATTTTATTGAGCATCAATTTAATTAAAAATGATCAAATATTCATTTTAAATTATGTCTAATATTATCATAATAATATTTTTATACATTTATATACTTTTTAAATAAATAATTAAACATCAAACTTTAAATTTTGATTCATGTTTAATAAGTTTTATAAATAAATATTTATCACTCCACCAATAATTATTATTGATAGAACATTTTATAACTCTTTCAGTCATAGTATTAGTGTGAGAAAATCTAATATTAACAAGGTGTATAATTGATAGAAAATAAAGTAGAAACTATATTCTTTTATTTCAATTTTCTTTTATCTCAAATTAAAAATATAAGACTACCGATTATTATAATTGCACCAGACCAAATCATAAAGATTACGATACGATTAAAATCGATTCCCTGACCATTCTAATAAATAGATTAAATAATGTATAGTTAGGTTGCTTGTACTGTATTTTGTGAACATATATAATATCCGAAAATTTTGCAATTTTTAATCCAAGAAAAGATTGATTAATAAAATAAAAGGAGGCAGATAAGGTAGGGCCAGATAGATGAAGCCAAAAGGTTTAATATATAAAAAAATATCTAAAGAGTGACATCATAAATAAATAATGGATGGTAAGTTGCTACGCCTACAACTTAATAATATATTCATGCTGCTATGAACTTTTATGGTCCACTTGAAATAACAAATCTCCCGTATACCTAATACGGGGACTTTAATAGATGCAGCAACCTTTCCATTTTGGTTCAAATATTAAATCCAAAAATAAAAGACATAGAATGCCCCAATAATTTCTTTTACAAACTTAATAAACAATATGAGTTTTGTTGATGAAAAAAATAGGCTTTGTGTTTTCTTTAAATTATGGGTTACTTTGGTAACATTGAGTAATATATGTGCATAAGAAAGGATTAGATGAGATTAAAATGAAGAAATAGAGAAAATGTAGTAGTTTTTGACGATTCATTCTTTCTGGTATAGGTAGATAACCATAATCAATTGTTCGATAGAGGAGAAAAAGAGAGAAGATGATAGATAGTAAAGAGAATGAATTTGGGGGAAATTGAGAGGAGTAATCTTCTCCATCCTTGCAAGATAATCTATATACATTCATTTAGTGTTAGTGTCAAATCTATAATTACAATGACAATTTATTGATTAACAGACTAGATAAATTTAGATGTAATATAGTAAATTTAACTGGTAGATCACGTGGATTTATCAGTAGTTAAGTCGAGAGTATGTGACTAACTAGAATACTTAAAATTCTAGAGATTTAAGAAACTTTGAAAAACTTTGATAGAAAAAATAGTAATAACGAAAGTGCGGCTTGCTAATAAAATACAACAAAGTTAATTAAATTACACTCATAATTCGTTGCTTAGTAGGTTTGCGATGTGTTAACAATTTCTTTCCAAATCAAATCATTGAGGTACGTAATATTTTATGTGACGGGACGCATTTTATAAAAATTTAAGGGAAAATATACTTATAAAATTTTAGAGAACAAAAATAGATTTTCAATAGAAAATAAAAAGAAATATCTAAAATATATAAAAATTTAAAAATAATTAAGGGACAATCATCCCCATCCATCCTCGATCCATTCCTGAACTAAATTATGACAATCCACGTGGGAATCTCTACTTTCAAAACAGAAATAGATCCAATTTCAATCCGGTAGAGCCATTAGCTAATCTGTTGGCTAATCTCATGAGATAATCATGAAATTAATTAAGGTTCCATTAGGGAACTTTTGATTTGTAGATATGTACTTGTTTGATTTTAGAATCCACTAACGATTGAGTGCTTAAATTGATGGGGGACATATGGGGGCAAAGTAGTTATCAGAGTTTGGATGCAAGTTAATGAGAAATTCAAACTTGTTGAACTACTTGGCACTGTTGACTCTTCAGTAAGTATTACAAAATATTCATACTTGCTCTCCTTAGTAGGTTCTGCTAACTGCTTCTTCGCCTACCCAAGGCCAACAATGATATTTAGGGATGGATTCTCGACTGGGTGGTGGTAGTCGCCCCTAAAAATTTAAAATTATTATATATTTTAAATTTTTTATGTATTTTCTATTGAAAATATATTCCTTATACATTTTATAAATTCCTCAATTTCTAAAATTTTATAAGTTCGTCTTCTCTTGTATAAAATCAAGTGTTTGTCCCTCATGATATCATATTCTTTTTTTAATATAAGCCGTTAGTCTTATTAAAAAATTAGAAATATTCAAAATTACAATAATAATTTACAACTATCATCATAAGCCAAATACATAATTTTAGACATTTTCCTATAATATTGAAACTAGTCACTTTAGATCACATAATGGCCATACATGAAAAAGATTAAAAATTCAACCAAAAGACTCAATCAAAAAATAGATACAAACAAATCTGACTACATCGACAAATGAACTAGAAAATGGGATTAAGCTATGGAAAGATCACTGGGAATCGCGAATCAGAGCCGAGCGTCGTGAGAAACTATTCACGAATGTAAAACAATGTATCCAAATTCAACTCATGGGTCAATATTATGAATGATCAATAGGATTATAAATAAGTATCATCTTGATCAGTCGTTGCGCCGTCAAATTCAAATCTGGGAGAAAAAAATAAAAAGTACGGTCAAACGATCGAGAAAGAAGATGAAAAACATGCCACAAAAGCAGAGAAAAAATGTGTCACAAAGATATAATCATTCTTATTAAAAAATTAAAAAAAATAAAGAAAAAAGAGAACGATGATCGACAATTAGCATCAAAACTGACGTCATTGGATAGACAAAGTGTTAGGATTTATGAAGTTTGATCAATCAACCGAAATATGCTTAGAGGAGGTGAATTGGCTTTTTGAAAATTTAGGGAGTAAGGAGAGAAAGGATAGACAATCTGCACTATAATTTATAGTGGTTCAACTTCCTCAATGAAGTATACATCCACTACCTAAGCTCCCCACTTAGGATTTTCCAACAAATCCACTAATTTGATCTTTCCTTTTCAAGGATCAAGAGTAACGTTCCTTAACAAAGTTTAAGAAATGTGTAAACAAGAACACCTCTTTAGGTAGGTGCTTATAAAGATTTAGCTCACAGAAACAAAATCTAAGGATATACAATTGAGCTCAAAACACAAATATTTGGAAGAGAAAGAAAATTAGGATTGAAAAACTTTTCTCGTGTTTTAATGTTTGGATAGGTGTTGGTGACCTTCTTCAAGTGTCTTCAACTTTAGAGTCGTTGGGGATATAATGTTACTAGCCGTTGGGAATGTTTCAGAGTCGTTGGGGATAAAAATAGCCGTTACCTGTAACTTTTAAGGCACAAGGGGTTGATCATTTTACCAAAGGAATCGACCCTTTTTCAAATATTTCGATCCTCTTCCTCGAGGGATCGATCCTTTTGTCAAGGGATCGATCCTTTTGCTAAGGGATTGATCATTTTAGCCAGAGAAGCTTGGAAACATGACTTTAAAGCGAGAAAATCATCGAGTAAGTAAGGTTCGACTAAATTTGAAAAACATTTAAAAATATAATTTTAACTTTTATTTGGAATTTGAATTATTTTTGA